CCTGCAGCTGTAGCAGAGGACAAGAAGGGAGAAGACGCAAACAGAAGCTTAGAGGCGAATCAAGTCCACCAGCAACAAGGCGCTGCAGCATCTGTGAGCTGTTGAAAACCTATCGTTCTGTACATAGCACAGAACGTGAGAGTTTGTTGTTGTATGATTTCAGGTGTAGCATTAACATTATGAGTGCTCGTACGTGTTGGTAGAACTAATGTCTCTATGTAGTTCAGTTCATTATCATTTGACATTTGTACTTTTGGTTGTTAATGTTAGGTATTTAGACAGTCTCTATTCCCAAATTTTAGATGCATGAAAACCGACACCAAGTAAAAGCAAAGTAGAAAGATTACATAGCAGGCTAGTCGCATTAGAGAGGTGAAAACAAAGTGAAGACGGACATAAGTTACAAAAGAGCAGCTCGTATGGAGCGTATGATATCAGTGAGGGAGACGACTCCTTGAAGCAGACCCTGTTGGTCCACCACCCAAACTCGGTGCACCCCTCTGGTCGCCACTTTCTCTATAGCTTCCTCCATCGTCGTGTCCACAGTGCAACTCACCATCTCCCTCTCCTTCCCTGAAGCTTTCTCAGTGAACTCCAAAGCTGTGAGAGGCAGACAAGTCTGCAACTCCGACAAACGACACCCTTTTAAATCCGTTGCGGAAAACGTACCAATCACTTTCCTATGTCTCCCCTGCAATCTCAAAAGACAAAAACACACAAAATGAAGCATACATTCTATACAAAATGTTCATCAACAAATATGTAAATATGGAAGCCTATACATTAATGAGCTGAAGATGATCCTCTTGCGTTACATCAGGAGCTTGAACGATCGGAACAGCGTTGAGCAGAGCAGATTTCATAGAGTTTATAGCATTGGAAACAGTTGTTCTCTCGCTAATGGCGTAAACGGAATCATTAACAGCTCTAAGCTTTGAGATGGATCGTGAGAGGATAGTGCTGAGATCATCGAAGTGATGGTCTCTAAGAAACCGTAAGAGATCCATCTGAGTCAACATCTTGTAAGAAGAAGCAGACTCAACCAACTCAACTCCTGAAATGGTGTTACTACTCTCTACACTGCTCTCAACTGGCACTAATGCTCGATGAATCCCTTTGCTAAACACTTCCATACACTCCACGAAGCTCGTGTTAGGATTCAGCGTCCAGAGACTAAGTCCCTCGAGGCAATGACCGATGATTGAAGAAACCTGCGAACCCATTTTGCGGTCAAGATCGGAGAGATCAGAGAGATTCCCTCCTCCGGCTATATGAGCAAGAACGTCGAGCATGGTGAGAATTCCGATGTAGTGTTTTCGTACTGTTCCGGTTTGTTTATCAGATTCCATGATCATTGAACCACCGGCTCCGATCCAGTGTCCTGGAGGTGCAGCCACTGGGAGAGCTGAGATGGAGTTAGCCACCAATGTGTTCATTGCGTGAGCCAGTGTTGCTGTGTAGGGAACCTCCACTAGCCGTCGGTTTTGAGCCGTTAGATCTTTGGCTAAGACATTGATCAGACGGCTATGATCTTCTTTGGTCTTCTCTTGTTGCATAGTGACTCTAGGTGTGTGTGATGAGAGTCTTGAAACTTGAAAGTGACTAGAACGTGTTGGCTTGCGAACCTTTTTATGTGTCGACATTGGCTCGACTTTTGAGGTTTATGGATCAGGACTGCCTGTGATGATCCACACCACGTGGCAATCGATACCGGCTCGTCACATGCAACAGGTGGCATTTCGTCAATTTTGTTCTAGATGTTTTAGTGATTTGGGCCGTAGTAGACGGCCCAGTGTTATGTTTAATGACCAAAATAGCCTTTCCTTTTTCTTTGTTAAATTCAACATTTCCCTCGCGTCCGCCGAAGAAACGACTGGAGAATCCAAGAAGGAAGGGAAGAAATCGGTGCTTGAAGAAGCACGAAGATGACGAGAACAATGGAAGTGGCGCGATTGTGAGTATCTTCTTCTTTTCGTAGTTTTCTTCGGTGTTTTCGTTTTCTTCGCTGCATTACTCTGCTTCGATCAGCGTGATAGTTTGAAATTGGGTCGATTTTTGTTTGGAGATTCTGTGTTTCTATGGTTCGATCATTGGGATCTAGGGTTTTCTCCCCCCCCCCCTTCCTCAGTTCCTCTTATGAAGTAGTCTGGTTTCTTTTTGATCAAGTGAAATATTCGCTGATACTGCATTTGCGTTTGATTTGAGAGAGTACGGATGTGAATCGATACAAAAATGGCCTCTTATTGATCAATTTCATAATGTTGGCCTACAAAATCCATGGATTTCGATGCATTTTAGGATATTTGAGCGTGCAATATGAGATTATGAGAATTGTAGTGTTTGTGCAAATGGCTAATTGGTGTGTGTTTTCCTGGAACGTAGTGAAGGGAATGGATTGGAAGAACCCAGATATACGGAAGAAGTTTCATGGGAGGATCTGGAGAGAGACGCTGCTAGTAAAGCCGGTGTATCCTCTGAAAGATTTCAAGCCTGGAGATCTCACAACCATGACTCTTCAAGAAAAGGTTGCCCTCTTTAAGTAGTTTTGAGTTATGTAAAATGTTGAAACTTTTGAGAAACTCTTGGTAATGTTATCTGTTTTTGTCCTCATGCTAAAGTAAGTGATGTTACAAGCCTAGTGTATCTCTGATTTGATCAGGTGACGAGCTTTCTGGAGAGATGTACGAACTGTGGAGGCAAGAACAGAACAGCATAGCGGCAAGACTTGACAAAGAGCTTAAATCCAGGTGGGAGCTAGATGAACTGATTGAAGAACAGCTGAGCAGATACCAGTCTCATTACTACAAGTCCATGGTTTCAACGTCTTTAAAAGATGTCTCTAACCTCCTTATGCCCATCTGGATACCGCCTCATGAGCTAGCTGCCGTGTCCTGGCTTGGAGATTGGCGTCCCACTTCGATTCTTGACCTTCTTCGCATTCTGGCTGCTCAAAACCCTTCTTTCTCTCTGTCTGAGGCGAGTGAACGTGTGGTCTCTCAGCTTCTCCGTGAGATACGCATCGAGGAGGCTGTGATCGATGAGGAGTATGCAGAGATTCAGGCCACCTGTGTTCTGCACCTTCCCTTTTCACCACTCTGCAATGCTCGGTCGCATGAAGAAGCTCTGCGTTCTGTGCAGGAGCTGTTTGGGAACATCCATAAAGTCATCTCAAAGGCACAGAGACTCAGGTTTGCTTTCCTCTTCACCATAAAGAAAAAGAATTGTAGATATGAACGAAAACAAATAGCTGTCAACAGTAGATAGATTAGATTGTGTTTAATGTCTTTCTTAGTATGGTTAAGTAAAAGCTTTGATCAGCAGATATGTGAGGGTGTTTTGGATGATGGGCAGGTATAAAGTGTTGGAGCTGGTGATGAAGAAGCTGCTGAACCAAACAGATACTGCCGAGTTTGTGGTTGCATTCGCAGGGATTCAAGACGCTATCCACCAGTTTGGAGAGCAGAAGAAGCTGAAAAAAATTTACCCGTCAGTTCCTCTGAAGGGATCAGGATCATCAAGTTGAGAGCTATATAGGAACATAAGTCTCAGTTTCAGAGGAACACTAAAAGCTGTGAAGTGTGATCTGCCTGCTACTCATTACTTACGTTCATGGAACTTCTGTCTTTACATCAACTCATCATATAGATTAGTCACACTCAGGCTGTCACCAAAACTAACATGTTTCGCCATCGCCGACCATTATGTCGTTTGGAGTCATTGGTGTTGTAAGTACATATGTAGTGAGTGATAGCAACAATATTGACAATGATAAAACTGATTCTTGTAGACAACTTTGAGGCTCTTCTTCTATTTTGTTTTTGCTATCTTTTGTGTTCCTGTTACCAGACAAATTTGCACCGTCAGTTGTATTGAATCTACAGAGTTTCATAATTCCAAAAACACTAGAGAAGTGATTCTGGTCACTGAAAGAGGTTTGCACAACAATGGCTATGCTCTGACCAGTTTATAATGCCAAATTTATTCCCATGCTTTGCTTTAATAGCCAAAACCAAAGAATTTGCATATTTTTCCAGATATATGCAACTGTTTGAGGTGTATGGCCCATTGGACCTGTTGAGCTTCTTTAGGCCTATCAGATATACACCCGGTTTAGAGATTTAAGTTTAGGAATCAGAAATTAAGATCTTCGGATCAGACCTCAGCTTCTCCTCTCTCAATCGTCCAATCTCGGAACAAAGATCTTTGATTAAAAGTCAAAACCCTAGCCCTAATTCCTCAAATCTAATTCGTTTTCGTCGCGAAGCTTTGGATTGTTTGATTTCTGTGTTGAATCGCGGGAGATTAAAGAGCAGCGAAAATGGTGTTGGCGGAGCTCGGCGGGCGGATTACCCGCGCCATACAGCAGATGGCCAATGTGACAATTATCGATGAAAAGGCTCTGAATGAATGCTTGAACGAGATCACTCGTGCTCTGCTTCAGTCCGATGTTTCTTTTCCCCTTGTGAAGGAGATGCAGACCAATATTAAGAAGATCGTCAATCTCGAGGATCTAGCAGCTGGTCACAACAAGCGGCGGATCATTGAGCAGGTTTGGTTTTACCATAGATTATGCAAGTCTTATTCTGTATCGATTTTCGGGTTTAACTCCATGAAATCTGGTTAATTCCGTATTTTCGTGGGATTTAGTTGCTCATGATTGTCGCCTTGTTTCGTTCAGGCTATCTTCAGTGAACTCTGTAAGATGCTAGACCCAGGAAAGCCTGCCTTTGCCCCCAAAAAGGCCAAACCTAGTATTGTTATGTTTGTCGGATTACAAGGTGAGGTCTCTGTAAGATGCTATTCTTTATGTGTCCGTGCTTTATTGGGTTTGTTTCTAACTGTGTAGATAGATTGAGGCGTATTTCACTGTTAAAAATTGTCTGAACGTGTTTGACTATGGTTAGGTGCTGGAAAAACCACTACTTGTACCAAGTATGCTTATTATCATCAGAAGAAAGGGTACAAGCCTGCTCTAGTGTGTGCGGATACGTTCAGGGCTGGTGCTTTTGATCAGCTGAAACAGAATGCCACCAAGGCTAAGATCCCCTTTTATGGAAGGTACTCACATCAACTCCTTTTCGGTGTTGTAAATCTTATTCTTTGTCTATCCCCTTTGTATTAGTATCACCTTTCTTCTTGTGTGCTCGTAAGACCTTTGGTGCTTGCGGTTCCCAAAGGATATTAGCTCACATACAGTATCGTCTGTGTAAAATGGTTTGATATTGAGATGCTTGGTAAAAATGGTGGATTTGTCTTTGTGACGGTAGAGGCTAGGTACAAAATAATAAAATTGTTCGGTTTAGGCTTAGGTTTGGTTTATGTCAGTAGCTACAAAATTTTGCACTGAAAAGGAATATGGTTACTTGATAAGTTCCCTTTTCCATCAGCAGTTTCATCGTACTTCTCCAGTTCTTTGCGTGCAACTTACCTATAGGAGTTTCTTTAAGCCCTCTTGCCTGTTTTTTTCTTGCGCTCATCTTTCGGAATTCAGGACACATTGCCAATCTTTCAGAGGGCTCAATTCTTTGTCAAATAGTTCAACAGTATGCATAAATGGATCTTTTGAGGTCTTGTGTTATCTTCTGTTTCTGTTTGCAATTACTGTGATTATGCTATTTGTAGTTTGGGATTACTTCAATGACAGTAACAGAGGGACGTGAAAAATATATATTCTGGATTGAAACCATAGCGTACTGTGATACCAGAATGTGCTAATGCTGAGTTGTGATTCTTTGCAGCTACACGGAATCCGATCCTGTGAAAATTGCTGTTGAGGGAGTTGATAGGTTCAAGAAAGAAAACTGTGATCTTATTATTGTTGACACCAGTGGGCGCCATAAACAAGAAGCTTCTCTCTTTGAAGAAATGCGTCAAGTTGCTGAAGCAACAGTATGTTTTGTTGTCTTGAAGTCTTTTGTTATTTCATGGTTGATTTTGCAGACTCTGATCATGGTTTTTTCTACGTTGCAGAAACCAGATCTTGTTATATTTGTTATGGATAGCAGTATTGGTCAAGCTGCATTTGATCAAGCTCAAGCATTTAAGGAAAGTGTTGCCGTTGGAGCTGTAATTATTACTAAGATGGACGGCCATGCCAAGGGTGGTGGTGCTCTTAGCGCGTAAGTATCTTGTTGCCACTGAGTCGTCTCTGTACACTCAATGGTCGATATGAATATCTTGTGGGATTTTCCAATTGAACAAGTGAATGTGATCTCTTTTCATCTTGTTAGTGTTGCAGCTACAAAAAGTCCTGTGATATTCATTGGAACAGGAGAGCATATGGATGAGTTTGAAGTGTTTGACGTCAAACCATTTGTCAGTCGCCTCTTAGGTAACATTCATGGCACTGATTGAAGATTAGCAGCTTTGTGAGGAGTAAACAAAGGCTCCACTTGGGTTGCTGACTCATAATCTTGCTAATGTTTAATGTACGACAGGAATGGGTGATTGGTCTGGATTCGTGGATAAACTACAAGAGGTGGTACCTAAAGATCAACAGCCTGAACTTCTGGAAAAGCTCTCGCAGGGTAACTTCACATTGAGAATTATGTACGACCAGTTCCAGAACATATTGAATATGGGTCCACTTAATCAGGTCAGGATCTCTTCTCGAATATTAGTCTGAACAGCACGGGATGCCGATGATAAAACAACATGAGGTTTTGGTGTGTAGGTTTTCTCAATGCTGCCTGGAATTAGTGCTGAAATGATGCCGAAAGGACATGAGAAAGAAAGCCAGGCGAAGATAAAGCGATACATGACAATGATGGATTCTATGACAAATGATGGTGAGATCAATATCTTTATTTAGAAAAATAATGTTGAGTAGAAGTAATATAAAGTTTTGAACAAAAAATGGTGAATGGGTGGTTTGTGCAGAACTGGACAGCTCAAACCCAAAGGTGTTTAACGAGTCAAGGATGATGCGGATAGCGAGAGGGTCAGGGAGGATTGTAAGAGAAGTAATGGAGATGTTGGAAGAGTACAAGAGACTAGCAAAGATATGGAGCAAGATGAAAGGACTCAAGATCCCAAAGAATGGAGACATGAGCGCACTCTCGAGAAACATGAACGCACAACACATGAGCAAGGTCCTACCGCCTCAGATGCTCAAGCAGATCGGCGGCATGGGCGGTCTGCAGAGTCTCATGAAGCAGATGGGTTCAGGCAAGGACATGATGGGCATGTTTGGTGGTGGAGACAAGTAGTTTCCTTCTTTCTTTCTTGCACAGGCAAAAAAACTAAACTAGACCTTTGTTTTTTTTGTTTGTTCTTGACTTTAAACTACAAATCATAAAACCATTAATTAAATTTGTGTTTTTTAATTACTAAACTACCAATACTGCGTTAACAAAAGCGTTTCCGAGTCTAATTAATAAGGAAATTTAGTGAAATTTGTCAAATTGCTAAGTATGAAATAAATGGAAAAAGAAAGAGAGAAATAGAGGGTTGAGATTAATAGTGGAATCTATAGATCTACGGTGGATAGAGAATAGATCCACCTTCATGATTATATATACAAGTTGTTATGCAGAAAAGGGCCGACGGAAAAAAAAGCTCAAAACCCTAAAAAGTCCAATTGGAGTTGCTCTCGTTTCGGTGATCAAGCTTTTTTTCTCCAAAGCCCATTACGCTCTTCCTCAAATCAGCCTCTTTGATTCCCGCCGTTGCTTTTCTCTGTGTGTGAGTATCACTTTCTCTCTTCTTCGTTGCGATTTTCTTGTCTTCGTCTTTTCCCCTTGAACTGTCGCAGTTGTGTATCCCTCGATTTCGTAGTCTTCGACTATGTCTCTTTCGCTTAATCGGACTGGTTTGTTTGTGTTTGCGGGTAGATTGTGTCTTCTTCCTCCGTCTTTGAGAGGACTGTTAAATTTGTGTTAATAGAAACGAATAATTGATTCGATTTTGCATCTATTTTGCAGGATTATGGATACTAATTNTTCTCCTGTGTTGGTTGATAACTACGTTTCTCTTGATACGGATGTTGTTGATAATACACAACCCAACAAGCGTAGGAAGAGGAAGTCTATTGTTTGGGATCACTTCACCACGGAAGCTACTGGCCCTGAAACTACCAAAGCTTTTTGCAAACACTGCAACAGATCCTATGCTTACAAAGCTGGCTCTAAGTCATCAGGAACTAGCCACCTTAAGCGTCACATTGAGATGGGTATTTGTCCAATGTCACCAAAGATCACCAATCAGCAGCTGCCATCAATCGAGGAAGAAACCTCCTCCTCTCCTCCCAAGAAACGTCAGAGATCTTATGCCAATGTCCCTATATATCAAGATAGATGCAACCATGAGATTGCAAAGATGATCATCATGCATGATTACCCTCTTCATATGGTTGAGCATCCTGGATTTGCTGGTTTCGTGCAGGCGCTTCGTCCTCAGTTCTGTATGGCAAGCTTTGACACCATTCATGATGATTGCATCGCTATGTTCTTGGCCCAAAAGCAGAAACTTTCAGATTTTATTGCAGAGATTCCTGGAGCAGTTAACCTTACAGTAGACTTGTGGTCATCAAGCCAATCAGTGGGTTATGCCTTTGTGACCGGAAATTTTGTTGATAAAGACTGGAATTTGACTCGCCGCCTTCTAAATGTTTCCGTTGTGGCTTCTCCTGATTCTGATTCTGCGTTAAACCAACCTATTGCAGCTTGCTTATCCGACTGGAAATTGGAAGGGAAGGTTTCGAGCCTCACTGTCAGCTCATCATTGGTGAATAAAACCTGCGTTGATAATCTCAGAGCTTTATTGTCTGTCAGAAACCAGCATGTGCTGAATGGTCAGTTGTTGATGGGGAAATGTTATGCCCGCCTCCTTAGCAGTATGGCACAAGATGCACTCGCAGCTGAGCATCTTCAAGCGCCCATAAAGAAAGTCCGAGATAGCATCAAGTATGTTAGCACCAATGAGACTTGCAGAGACAGATTTGATGAACTGAAGAGACTGTTTACAACTCCAACCCCTTGTTCTTACAAAGATCTTCTCATTGACAACCAGACGAGATGGGACACGAGTTACAACATGTTGTTGGCTGCCTATCAACACAAACAGTTGTTTTCTGAATTGGAATCCTTCCATCCTGATAACAAAATATCAATTTCTCCTGAAGAATGGAGAAAGATTGAGAGTCTCTGCTCGTGTTTGAAGCTTCTTTACGAAGCAAGTAAAGTCTTGACCGGGAAAAACCGCTTGACAGCAAAGGTTTTGTACGACGAGATGACAAAGCTTCAGCTAGGGCTCAGCCACGAGGCCATGTGCGAAGACCCTGATGCGAGAAACTTGGTGAACTCGTTGATGGAGAAATTCGACCTGTACTGGAGAGGATGCTTCCTGGTTTTGGCAGTTGCGGTGGTCTTGGATCCTCGGTTGAAGATGCAGCATATTGAGTCCACCTTCACTAAGTCCTATGGTGAAGATGCAGAAAAATGGATCAAGACTGTTGAAGATGCCGTCCGTGATCTGTTCCTTAACTACAGTGAAGAGAACCTGCTGAATGCCTATGTGGATCCTGGCTTTTCAGAAACAGAGGTGGCTCAGGAACCTCACTTCCATCAAGAAATGCCTCAAGATGGCAATACAGGGAATGGACAATCAGGAGATGAGACAAGTCCACAGGCAGAGGAAACCACAGAGTCAAATCAAGATGAGAGACAGGTTAAGGAAGAAGAGCAGAGTGTGGAAGGGATGTCGGAGAGGGTGAGTGAAGAGAGTCAAGTAACCGAAGTTGGTGATGATCCTCAAGCACATGAAACTGCAGAGGAAGACAAGACGTTATATACTGGCGACGTGCTTCTCGAAGAAGGGTCTATTCTCATCACAATAGGGGAGGAGGAATTGTCAGATCTTGACATATACTTCCCGGATGTGAAAACAGAGCTAGAGCAATACCTCCTTGACAAAATTGAGATACCGAGGCAACAAGACTTTAACGTTCTGAGCTGGTGGAGGGAGAAGAGAACCGACTACCCAACCCTCGCTAAAATGGCTGTAGATCTTCTCGCCGTCCCCTTCTGCGCCGTCTCACCAGATTGCGTATACGACACAGAGGTGAAGCAGATGGACAATTACAAGACCTCTCTTCCTCGTGTAACCTTGGAGGCTCTCGTGTGCACCAATGAGTGGTTAAAAAACGGAACATTATGAAAATCTTGAGGTTTCAACTCTC